TGGGATGAGAAACTTTGGAGTGAATTGAAAAGTGACTGATAGGAGATGGAACAAAAGCACTGCTCTGTAGGATGAGAGATCGGCTGCACTTTCATCTGGAGATAGCCACACTTGGCAGCATCATCCATGCCGTGCTGGCTTTGATGGCATGGAGGATGGAAGAAGAGTAAGGGGATCATGGATTCTGCTTATGTGGTTTTAGAGAACCATTGAGGCCAGGCAATGTGTGACAGGGGAGTCCCCGCAGAACTGTGAGAGGACATTGTGTGAAGCTGGGAAATGGGACGCCTGGGTTGTTGTAGAGCCCCCAGGACGTTGAGAGGTGCCAGCCTGGTCTCTCTGCCATGGAGAGCATCATGCTGGGAGTGAAAGCAGCCTGTGGAGGTTTGAGTGGGAGCAGCCCGCATAGGCTCCTAGGTTTGAAGGCTTGGTCCCCAGTTGCTGCAGGTGTTTGGGAAGGTTTAGGAGGCGTGAGGGAGAAGGTGTGTCACTAGGAGTGGGCTCTGGGACTCCAAAGATTGGCGACCTTCCCAGTTGGCTCTCACTGCCTCCTGCTCACAGATCGAGTAGGGAGCTCTCAGCTGTTCTGCCGCCATGCCCTTGCTTCACCGTCTCTGACTCCAACCCTCTGAAAATCAGTTCAAGTAAATGCTTTCTTTGGTATTCTGTCTTCGTCATGGTGCTTTGTCACAGCAATAGAAAAGGAAAAGACATAGCCCAAGGGAGAGAGGGATATTGCAGGCAGCAGATCTGCAGGAACAGAGTCATCTCAGCCCTTTAACACTAGACACGGACCTACAGGATTTGGAGTTGGTCCTGCTGGGGTTCAGCCTTGCTTTGGTCTGATATTTCTCACTACCCTTATTCCTCTCTTTTGGGATGGTAATGCATGTTCTGTGCCATTGTATGTTGGAAGTATGTAATTTGCTTTTTGATTTTACAGGGGTTACAAGTAAGAGATCGCCTTGAGTCTCAAATGAGCCCTATGACTTTTTTTTTTTTCTGAGACAGGGTTTCTCTGTGTAGTCTTGGCTGTCCTGGAACTCACTCTGTAGCCCGGGCTGGCCTTGAACTCATAGAGATCTGCCTGCCTCTGCCTCCCAAATGCTGGGATTATAGGCGTGCACTGCTGCTGCTGCCGCCGCCGCCGCCGCCGCCGCCGCCGCCGCCACCGCCACCACCACCACCACCACCCAGCTGCCCTTGGACTTTTGAAGTGTTAAGACTGTGAAAGACTATGGGGACTTCTGAAGTTGAACTAAACGTATTTTGTGCTTAGTTATGGCCATTAGTGTATGCTGGGGATTTGAATGAGAAATACCCCTGTAGGTTTGGGTGTATGAACACTTGGTTCTTACTTGGTGGAGTTGTTTGGGGAGACTGAGGAGGTGTGACCTTGCTGAAGGAGTACCTAGGGGTGGGTAGGCTTTTGAGTTTTATGACCTCACCCCACTTCTAGTTGTTTCTCTTTGCTTGGTACTTGTGGTTGAAATATGAGCTCTCATTGTCCTGTTCTGTTGCCATGCTTCCCCCCACTTGCTGCCATACCTCCCCACCCCTCTGCCATGATTGACTCTCACCCTCTAGAACCATAAGCCAAATAAACTCTTCCTTCTATAAGTTGTTTCATGATAGTAACAGAAAAGTAGCTAATGCAGCCATGTTTTGCTTACAAGAACTGGAAACTGAACTGTTTGTGGTTTTGGCAGTTACTCTTTCTGATCATGCTGGGGATGGGTTTATTTTACTTTGTATAGTATTGAGAACTGATAGTGTTAGTGTGAGATTGAGTAGAAAACATGTTACATGATCTTTCTGTAACAGGAGACTGACTTCATGATGGGGCTGGAGAGAGAGCCCAGTAGGTAAAGTGCATGCCATGTATGTGGAAGGTACTGAATTTGGATCCCCAGCATCCACATACAATGCTAGGTGGGTGTGGCAACCTACCTACAATCCTAGAAATAGAGAAAGGGGATCCCCAGAGCAAGCTGGCTAGCTAGACAAGCGGAATTGGTGAGCTCCAGGCTCACCAAGAGGAAAGCATGGAGGAAAATGCCTGATGCCAACCATCTGACCTCCACATGCATGCACACACAAATACACCCACACACATACACATATCTCCACACACCATAAAATACACACATGCACACATAGATTTCTTTAAAGACTTGATATTAAGAGATACATGATAGATGGCCTAAATTGTAGGCATCAAAGGAACTTAGAAACTGAAGTCTCTTATTTGCTTGTCTTCATGTAAATAAAGCATTTGGTTGTAAGAATTTCAATGTGTTGTTTTGGAATATGTAGTCAATATTTGGTAAAGTGGCTGATATAAAAAAAGAAATATATTTTTTCTCTTTTATCATGAAGTATTTTGTTGCGGGCCGCAGGAATATATCATAAGAACTCAGCTGGTTATGGCAAAGTCACTACCTGGAGGGATCATGGAATTCCTCCAGAGGAAGCCAAATCCCAAGGAGTTTTTGGTGTTACTTGGCTTGTTATATATCAGCTGTATTCTGTTAT